ACAAACAATCCGAAAGGATCCCTGTGACTACAAGGGTTACACACACAGACAGAGACTCATATACGCACGGCGTGACGCACAGTCATTTAATCAATGACAAGCATAGTGGTTGTTTAACTACATCCTAGAAAAGCTAGTGTCCTGGAGTGAAGGAAACGTTACCTCTGATCGTACATCGCTGGACGCATCTCCTCTGACAGGTCACTGCTGTGACACACTTGTTGCGTACCTGCCTCGGCACTTTTCTGTCTTCATTCCGGCTCGTTTTTTTCCGTGAGCTTTTCCTGGCGCCGTGCACGCTGCTTCTCCCCCTACCAGCAGCTCAAATGCTCTTGACGATGAGCTGGGCTGTCACCGCTTGGCCGCCGGTGGGGGGTTTGTGAGGCCGCATCACACACAGACACCCACGCACTGCCTCAACTTACACGAACGCACACACACACACACGCAGACTCATATACACACGGACATAGATACACACACAGAAACCCACACGCTACCTCAACTCACTCGACTTAACGCTTCACACTGCACACTTAACAGATAACTCGCACTCTGACTTCCTACGTGATGAAAAATGCTTTCGGGCCACTTGTCGTCTAGTGTTTCTTCTACCTCAGGCAGTAATCATTGGTTACAACCTCCCCCTCCCTGATCACCAGGAATGTTTTCTTTCGCTCCCTCAACGTCTTTTTGCTGATTTTATATCTTGCGCAGATCCACATTTCAAGATGCCAGGTGCCGCCACAAGCCAGCGCTCGTAGCGCATGAATTTCCATTGCAATTGCACTCACATAGCCATCTGCTACCAGTGCGATTTTAATCACACTCCTACCAGTTCCATAAACCAAAGAGTGGTTGGTAGCGTCAAGTATTTTTGTTTCCTTGGGTTGCAATGCGTTCTCCTTGAGCGTCTTGCAAAGCTAGCCCTCCTCCTTCAATTGGATTCCCTGTTGACAGAAATGTATTGGGAAGCATTGTGGCGTCTGCTCCTGTTTCCACTATGCTGACAAGCGCCGTCGTCCTTTTTCCTGCTCCTGGTAGATTTCCTTCTATCACCCAGGCTGTAGAATTGAATCGTCCTCACTTATCCATTGTCCTTTTTGCTGCCC